AGAAGAACAAACAAATCTATGTTGGAAGAAGTACAGTCAGATCTCTAGGCTCCTTAGAAGCAAGGATGACAAGACTTTACCTTGTTTTCTTTGGACATGTTATTGATCCTTTGAGAATAACACTGTGCAAAAGATAGTCAGCCAGAAAGAAGAATTCCCTCCACAAGAAGATGGATTGATGCTATGGGTCGGAACCAACTCGACGGCACTTAACAACAACAAAATGCCAAGTATTAGGACAAAGGATCACAGGAATTGAGACATTTTTTTACAATAGATATTAACATCCTTCTCCAGGGATTAGAGTAAAATACATCTACTAGTATATCTGTGTCAAACCAGGTGAAAATCTTGTGTGAGGTTACAAGACAGTCAGAATCCTTCCTCAACCTTCCTTTATCAAAATGAATGTTCCACGTGGGTTCCTAAATTGATTTCTGTCATTAATTATTAAATTAAATGTTGGAGGATTATCCAATTTAAAAAACACTTGAGCTATTCAGGACACTATGAAGCTTGCTTGCATTTAAAGTATATGCATACTACCAAAAACAAAACAGTGTTGTTCAAGTTTATTACAACTCATGGCAACTCCATGTGGGTCAGAGTAATTACAGGACAGGGACCCTAAACCAAAGGATGCATTCCTGACTCTTCTAGACGGCACTAGAAATTGGTGTAATGCTAATTAAAATGTTTCAAACAAACTGTTTCAGAGCTAGAATCATTCACTGACCATGCCAAGAAATTTGGAAAAGAGCTACTTGGTCAATTGACTAGAAGTGTCAATTTGTGCCCATTCCAACAGAAAGATAATTTATCAAATATTATCATTAGTATCATATATAGGTAAAACTTTGTTTAAGATAATTAAAAAATGATTACAGAAGCACATCAACAGGGAGCTGACAGAATTCAAATTGACTTTAAATAGGAAGTGAAATAACAACTGCCTTTAGAATGGTGTGAATACATTTTCATTGTTTAAATCCACCAAGTTTATGATACTTTTATTACAACAGATTTAGGAAACTAATCTACTTGGGAAATACTATTTGAAATATCTACCAAAGATAAATAGTGACACATTTCATTTCTCAGTTTTGTTAAACTTAGAAATAGTGGGGAAGAGTCTTATAGGAACTCAGCATATAATGAGGTATATGATGCCTGCTAAGAAAAACTATCAGAGTTCGTCTAACTCATGCCAGCTATATTGTGCACAGACTGGTGGGATGGAGGGAAAGAACAGAAATGAGTACGTAGTAAGCCAGATTTGTAGAAGTGCAAACAAAACAGTGAGGTCAACCTGAAAGTGGCCAGGGCTAACCACTGGGGCTCACAGATGAATTCCAGATTCTACAGCTGTGAGCAAATCCTAGGACTATACTAGAGATACAGACTTATAGATTAAAAAAAATTTTTTAATGGGGAGAAAGAAAAGAAAATGATATAAAAAGGCATACAATATGGATTGCAAAATCACATGTTTTCAAACTGTAATATAGGCATTATTCTGATTATGTTATTGCAATAAATTCTCATTTTATTCATGTGAGAAATAAGTAATGCATTATTTAGTTCAAAGGTAAATCTTAATTTAGTATGTCAGTGTTTATACTTAAAACCAGAAGAAATACTCATTGAGAGGTTATAAATTAGAAGTTTTACTTTATAGTTCCATGACACTGCTGCATTTTTCCCTACTGAAAAACATGGAACGAAATAAAAAAGAGAAACAAGGGAGAAATAACAGTTACTTTTGCCCATTAAATTATAAATCACCTAGATAATGTAGATGATTCTAAAATACTATCAAATTTTCTGTGGAAACAGATTAATTCTCTGATACCTTAAAAAATAAATTAACAGCATATTTACATGGATGTGGTACCTTAGGATAAGCACTTGACCTCAAGGTTGGCTTGAACTGCAAAGTAGGCAGTGCAAGCTCACCAGCCTCTCCTTGAAACCCTATGTTGTTGTTGTTGTTGTTGTTAAGTGCCAGTGCCTTCGAGTCGGTTCCAACCCATAGTGACCCTGAACAGGGTTTCCGAGGCTATAAATCTTTACAGGCGCAGAAAGCCTTATCTTTCTCCTGCGGAGCAGCTAGTAGTTTCGAACTGCTGACCTTGCGGTTTGCAGTCCGATTCATAACCACTACTCTACCAGAGCTCCTTTGAACCTATACAAGGTCGCTACTCATGGGAACCGATTCTATGTCACTTAACAACAACAATGTTTTATGGGAGTTTACATTTTTGGTTTTCTGTATTTAAGTTGCCAAGTAAATCATCTAGAAGTAGACTCTGGGCTTCCCCCAGTGAATTCCCAGCTCCTTAAACAAAAGACCTTGCAAAACACCGTTTGAGTCCCATGAAGGAAAAATAAAAAGAGAACGTAGGAAGTGATCTAATTTCCATCATTACCAAGAATGCTATTTCCCCCAAATATCACTTGCTACAGCATAATGAGCTTATTGAGATTCAGTTATTTGCTTGTTTGTGTAAAAACATCACAGATTACTAATCCCTTGATTAGTAATTATGCCTTTTCTTATGAATTCAAAGTGATTTTAAAAGAATTCAAATTCCTAACTATTCATAGCATGTTGTTGTTGTTAAGTATGGTGGTCTTAACTCATAGTGACCTTGTACAGGGTTTCTGAGGAAAGGGGGGTGAATTTGAACTGCTGACCTTGCGGTACAAACCGGCATGGAGGTAGAATGCCCTTTGGCTCCACACCAAGCCTCCTTATTCATGGTATAGAACAACAAATGATAGGTAATGTGGCATTCAGAAAACAAATATAAATGTCATATATCAAATGTATTTTCCCTGAACTACTTGGGAATAAAGATCAGGCATTATTCCACTTGGCTTAGAGATGGGAAAATAAGCAGGAAAATGCAATGTTTCTTCTTATTTAAACAAGAAAATTGTGCCGTACAGAAACCTACCTCTGATGCTCAGTTCACCACTGAAAACCTGAAACTTTATTTATCTTGTTTGAGGAATATTCACTTTCCCAAAACATATCTGGCTTACTTAGGAAATAAATTCAAGTTACTAAACTCTTGTTCAGCCTTTGAAATAATTATTTTAAGCTTCTGCCAAATTCACTGATTTAATTATGCAAAATTCACATAGTTTAATAAACCCACTCCACAGCTCATTGCTCAACCTTTGGCAGCAGGCTACTGACATACCTAGACCCAAATGCAAATGGTGCCATCTGTATCACTACATCCATTTTAGCAGCATCACTATTTAATTAATAACACAGTCTCTAAGAACATATGGCAGAGACCACAATCGTTTGGAACCAGATGAGTTTGTGCAGGCTGCCCACCTAATAGGAAAACAGAGCCAGTTCAGTCATGGGTCGGTTAGTCTATCTATAACCAGTTTCTCAACCAAAGGAATCAAGAATCAAAAAAGGAAAGAGAACAATAAGAAGACATTAGCTACCTAAATTCAAAAATAAATAGGATTGCATTTAACGCTTCAATGTCATGATTATATAAGGATTGGCGATCCAGTCTGGAACAAACTCAGACCTTATAATCGTCAGACACAGCAGCAGAATGACTTGAGATCTTCCACATAAAGGAAGTACATTGAGTATATAAATAGCATGGCACTGTAAAATAGATTCATTGTTGTTATTAAGGATTGTCCAGTTGGTTCCGACTCCTAATGAATCTGTAAAGGGTTTCCGAGGAGCAGGTGGTTGGCAAAATGTGAGGTTCATCCAAAACTTTTACAATTTAAAAGTTTACTATCTATAACTTTAATATTCACTACAAGTTGTTTTGCATTAGCCATTTTTTGACCTAATAATAACCGTTGGAACAGCATTCCATGTCATAACCCTTGAAAATTCTTATGTTTTCTGAGTGTATGGCACAAATACAATGCATATAAGATTTTATTTTTGCTTTGGTTCATCCAAATCATGGGTGACTGACCCATTGGGGAAACTGGGGCCTATTTAAAAAAATATCTCCCTTAAGTGTTTTTGCTTCCTATGCCTACAAGTTTCTTTAAAATTGTGTGACCACATAGGTCCCCATAAAAGCAATGCTTGTAATATAACAAACACAATGCTAAGCATTATTTGTATGCCTCTAATGCAATGCAAAGGAGCTCTGGTAGCGTAGTGGTTAAGAAT